AGATACTGAATTATACAAACAAAAAGCAAAACCTTTGACCTTCAACTTTGTGTTCACAAAGGCAACATTCTAAGAAAGATTACTTTTGCAGTGACACACCTTTAAGCAAGGGATGTCTTAGGTTACAGATGAGTAAAACCTGACACTATGTAGCAGCAATGAACATCTTTTTTTATTCTTACGAGCACGGAAGACAATTTTACTACTGCATTAAGGAGAAAAAGTATTTCCTAGTGTTATGTTTATATAAACTGACTCCATTCGGATCCAAATGATTTGCTTGTTACAGTAATTATTACTGCAAGTCCTCACCGGAACATCTGTATTGATTTAGACTCCAGGAGAGGAGAGAGAAAGAGGGAGAGGCTCACAATCTGGAATTTGACTCAGAGAGCGAGACAACAATCTGTTGTACGCTTATTTTGGTAATTGTCCATAATTCATGTGAAAACACGGGTGCGTGTTGAAGAATATTCTAAATGACTGTTTTTGTAGCTCAGAGGGTCAATCATAACAGGCAGCTGCATTGAAAATGCATATCCATCATCTAATAATGTTATTCTAAAAGCAAGTGGACAGCTGGTGAGAGAAGACAAGACATCCAGCCACACAGTTTGCACTTAATTGGTGGAATAAATTTTTCTTGGCAGACCAAACTAAAAATGTGATAAAAGACTTGACAGTTGATATAAACATAAAATTATGATTGTTTATTGTTTATAACTTCTGCATTGTTATTCTGAATGATTGTAAAGATGTGCTGATGCTGGTATTTGTGACCTACAACAAGCAGCTGAGACAAGGCAACAAGTGACGAAGTTAGAAATGGGAAAAAGCAAGGTGTAGATTTAACATTTACATCTTATTTATCTGGGGTTTTTTGTTTTGTTTCAGCAGAGTATTGTTTTCAGACTAGCTGCATGTTGCAAACATCTCACACTCACAGTGTTCTACTGTTCGGTGAAAATAATTAAGTCCGTCAGATTGGAAGACCTCTTTGCCATCACCCCAATCTGTAGCTGTGTCTCCACAGTTTCCGTCAGATTCAACTAAGGACTCTGGTTGCACCATTAATATAACATTCAGTTCAAAGATGAATGTTGGTAAAATAAAAAATACAAAAAAATGCTTACTCGACTTGTACTGCCCAAAATTATGAACAATTATAGCTCTATGTTAAACCTTTAATAATGTTTTAGGATTGTTCTAAAACAAATTCCTCCCATTGAAATTAATAGTTTGCATAATGTGATTTACTATTGCTAAATATTTTGTTGATCACCACCTTTTACCCATAAATTCCCCAAAATAACAGGTTTAGATATATTGTTTGTAAATACAGTAAAAAAAAACAAAAAAAAAACACTTCTTACAATGTCAATGAACCTGCTTATCTTGTCAGATCAATATAAAAGCTGACAGAATTTTTTTTTATAATTTCTGTAAGACTTAAATAAAAAAGATAATTGTTGAATAAGAATATTGTATAGAAAACAGCCCTTTCAAAGGATCTCATCTGGTTAAAAGTTGCTCATTAAGTCATCTTATGTCAGGAAGCAATGTTTATGTCTACAGTCTCTATAATGCTGTGGCTAAGCAGTACAGAATCTGGCAACAAATATTCAAATATTACAAACTATGCTCTCCAGAGAGTTCTGGCATGGCTGACATAAAGCGAGGAGATCCTCAACACTTGCTTTGTTAAGTGAAGAGCCATGTGTTGTGTTTGTATTCGAAGCAGAAGCGAGCGAAGCACCAACACACGAGGTACTTCAGCGTGTCCTTGTTTCTTTTTCTTCTCTAATGAGACTTTAACTGAGGAATCGGCTTAAATGTGCTGCGGCTTGCTGCTCGGTCCAGGCTGACCTCACCTCGCTTTCGGCTGAATTATGGAAATCTTTATCTTTACAACTCCAAAGAATACACAGTAATTATGGATACATCTGCAAACCAGGGCAAGGCTGTTTGACCCTAAACCCATGAATATATATGAAGAGAATATGGCTGCTGCAGCTCATATTATTTGACTTGTGAAAAAGTAAACACAGATCTATTTGACATTTGAAACCATGACCTCAGAGTTAAAATCAACAAACATGCCGAGAATATTATTGCGCAGCACTCTTTACACTTTGAAAGATGGACCTAATTATTCTTTAATCAGTATTCATTAGTTTGCTGATGTATGTGTTCATTCACAATTTCAAAAGACTTGAGCTTGAAACAAAATCCAACGTATTCAGATTGACACTTGAAACAAAATGGAGGTTGTATCGTGTCACCTAGCCACCCTGGTCAATTAAACACCTCCCACTACAGCTGCCTTCACTCAAAAGGCTCATTAACCTTTCTGACCAACCACCAGTCACAATCAGAGAAACCTCTCATCATATTGGCCAATCCAACATGGGCAGAGCAGGTCAACACCCACACAAGTGACAGGGAATTGAATTGCTTGAGAGAATGTCGTCTATCTGAGGGTTTGAAAGATATTTGTTTATTCACAGCTGGTGAGTATACCAGGCTTTCTTCACAGGCTTGAGAATAAAAGTCAAAGGTGAAATTTCAAGAAGTGAAAATTATTATATTTCTTTTTTAGCACTATACCAGTCTGTCCTTAAAATTAGGTCAATAATGAAGTAACTACTATGTTTACATAACATGGACCAAACCAACTTTAGATACAAGTTTAAATTTAACGAATGAGGCTTGTTTGTCAGACTGAAAGTACCTTTTAAAAATAACAACCTTTATGCAGGAATGAAACATGCTTTATTCAAGTCCACATTTCTACATATAAAAAGTCTTTCTAACTCAGCCTCTGGTGAAAACACATGATAAGATTTATTTTACAAAATTACAATCCAATCTGAAACCTTATATTCATCAGGAAAATAACGGCAAAAGGTTTGTTTCAACACCTAAATAAATGTGCTCAACACATTATGAAGACTGCCCTCATCAAAGTGTTCAATGACATCCACATAAATGTTGGTTCTGTTGAATTAGTGAAACATTTGACACTATTGACATATTATTGAAGCAACTGGAGAGCTTAGTCGAACTTTCAGGTAAAGTGCTTTACCCATTGGAGTCTTGTCTGAAGAACTCGCGCTTCTTTATAACTTTTCATCGGACCAGACAAAATCCCATTCGAGGAACTCCAAGTTTACATCTTGGACCACTCTTAAGTAATATCTACATGTTCCAGACAGTTCAGGTCAGAACAATTAATGATATCAGTTGTCATAATTATGAAGACGATATATTATATTGTTACCACGTGACTCCAAATGAAGAGATCAGGCCCAAAATCTAGGTTTAATAATGGCCTCAGATATCAACACACACTTATCTTTAGCTCAAATGAGTTTTCCAAATAAACAGTATCCCAAAGTAAACAACCAAGCCGGTTGCAAAGTGGCATCAGGACAACAAATTCATAACTCTGAGTTACTCTCAAACATTTATGAGTAGAGCTGACAGGGTGTGTGAGCAGGACAGCCTGAGACCTACCTCAGAGACTCCAGTTTTGTCAGAAAGAAAAAGCCAACATTAAACTTCTGATAGTTTGTAGAAAAAGGCTCAAAATATTTATACAAGTCAAAGGCAATTTTACCAGCTACGTTAGAAAAAAACAAGTTCTAAATTTAAAGTAAAAAAAGACTATCGTTATTATTCTCATTATTCTGATAACACTAATTGCCCTAAAATGGTTAATCTGATTTAATGTACCAGACAGTGAGAAAAGAGGGTTATGCATCTATTTTATGTAAATACACACGCTTCTGCATCATAGTATTTAATAGTGCCACCTGTGATATTATCAACTCATATTCAAAAAAAGAAATAGCATCTTGTTTTCCTCCAGTGTTTTTGAAAACTTTATATTTTTGTGAAATACTGGGACTCCAAAGTTTATCATCTACCTGGGATTTTATTGTTAATATACATACGTTAGTGAAAGAAAATAAAAATACCACTGGACCTTTAATGTGCTTGCCAGCACAGCTGCAGAAATGATTTCCTAAGAGCAATTTTATGCAGAACAAATCAAAAAACGCACAATTTAAACCTGTTGTGAGATTTTTGAATCAATGTGGCACTCACTCAGTCTTTTAAAAAATTTTAAAGGGAGCAGCAATACATATCTGAAGAAGCTTTACGATCTTGCTTTTCAGACCCCTGGTTTCTAATCTACTGGGTTGATCTCCCAGTTCCCAAGGGATTATAAAAAATGTCTGCAAACCTCAAAATATTTGAGGCAATCAACAACTCAACATGCATTTGGCGTTAGGATGCAAGAATGCGAAAACACACAAGCGAATGGATAAAAAGGAGTGAAATACGAAGAGAAATAAGGGGATCGGAGCCGTGCCCATTTCGGGGGTGTAAAATATGGAGAAGTGTGGATCATTGGGGGAGCTGCTCTGCCTGGGGGAACAGATGAAGGGAGGACACTCTGCCAAGATCTCTCCACTGAAGGGAGAGCTGAGGGACTGGAGCACTATGGGAGGAAAAGTGTGTGCCTCGCATGCTGCTCTCCCCAATCTCAGTCTCACACGCTCGCATTGACACGTCCCAGGCACTGCGCAGCAGAGGGAAATTGCTGCTGACAGGGCCTTGCAAACTTTCACAGCCATTTAGAAAGACTTACTCCCACACTTTTGTCACAGGCATTTATTGCACAAGATACATGATATGAAAAATTAACATTTTCAAACTTGGCACCGTTTTTTTGTAACCAAGTTCGGCTTAAAAAACCATTCATAATTTTTCGGCTTTGCGATCGGCCCTGATGCAGATGTAAACATGAGATGTGCCAAATGAGACCATGAGATTATGAAAATGCACACTTGAGAAAAAAAAGCAACCAAACACAACTTTGTAAATTTCAATGATACTGTATGACTTTCTAATCCAATAGAAAGCGCTGCCTGTATCACTATCGGCAAAACCAATGAGGTGAAGGAGCAGAAGTTCTGGGAGACTTACTATACCTTTATGTTCACAAGCAACCAGTGCCTCCAGTAAGCAGGGTGCTGGGAGCGTCTGGGAGCATCAGGATCAACCATCACCAGGACGTACATCTTTTTCTAAATGTAAACAGTCAAACATATACACATTATTACTTTTTAGACGCAGGCTTGTTTTTATTGGCTCCAAATCCGGTTCCAATATTTGGCTTAGGTGTGCTGTTCAAAATATTTACTTTTTCATTACTTTAAGACCTTCTTGTTCTCCATCTAATACAGTTATTTTTTGATTCAGTTTTGTGATTCAGTTGTTGAGTGTCTTCTTGTGTCATTAACTTTATTTAATAAGTTTGAGATTCATCAATCAATCAATCAAAGCAGAGGTACTGATTCATAATGACGCATCAAAATGAAGGAATTCCACCATCTTTAGACTATGAAAGCAGGCACTTTGATTTACTTTTGTGAGTTTTATAATGAAAGGTTAGGGATGAATGTTTTTATGCACAAATGTGAAAAATCTCTTAATTGCTTCATTTTCATATAGCTTCAAAACTGCCACCTCTGTCCAGAAACCTGCAGAAATGTATTCCCTCCATTGAGTGTTTATTGGTCTCGGAGAAAAACTCAGAATTGAAAGCAAGATCAGTGCATCTCTCCAACAAGCTCCCAAAGTAAGATTTAGGACTTTTCTTTCATTGTCTTTCATTATCAAATTTAACTGTCAAGCCTAAAATATTGGCTTAACATGAAAAAAAAAAAACATTTTAAAAGTGATAAATATGTGAGAACATCAACTGTAGCTGATTTTCTTATTCTTTTCTCAAACAAGCGCCGTCCCTTCTGTCATTACTTAAACTTAATATCCTTCCTGTGACATAAACAAAATGACACCGTTTTGGACGCGACACCAGAATCGTCTCGTTAACATATTCACAGTAACTTTCTGCCACTTACCAAGTATCTTTATACCCCTCAATCTGTCAATGGAGAGAAAAAGCATCTTAACTAACACTTGATCACAGTTATTGGACGATGATTTGGCGGCTTAATTGCCGGAAAAAAAAAAAAAATCTTCATTCTGTCTGTCCCTAAAAGTTAGAGAATTATGAGAGCAGATTGAATTATTGCAAGAGCACATTTGTCATCCCTGGTTTGGTGCCCAAAATCTGCCAGACCATATGATGAGCTTTTTTTATTTTGTTCACTTCCTCTACAAACAGCGACACAGTGTCCCTCTTACAGTATATGCACTTTCAATTGAAGCAAAGACCATAATGATATCAGCACAAACACATAAAAAAACAGGTGCAGCTTTTCTTACGTTCTAATGCCGACTGCCAAATAACACTGTTGGCGGTGTGGTAAAACATTTTCAAAGGATCAAATGCTTCCCTGTAAACAGAAATCTTAAATTTGTGTTTGTTTTGTCCTATGAAGACATTCTTACAGGCCTCAGAAAATTATCCTAAGCCGATGTACTTGAATGAGATAAAGAAGTAGTCATGTATTTTTTTTCTGCAGATGCTCATTTTCAGAAGGATTCTCTGCCTACCTGACAAGCAGTAATATGCGTAAACAACTAAGCCTAATAATAGGATAATACTGTAGTCTCAGCGATAGTGCCTGCAGGTAACATCCAGACACACCAGTAACAATAGAGCCTCCTCCACAGCCTGTCAAAAGTGACTCTATATCAGTGACCCCCCCGGGCAGCTTACCAACCATGACCTGTTGCCTTCTCCAGAGTTGTAATCCTCATTTTTACATGTTTGCTACCAGGCAGGGAAAAAAAAAGTGTGATAATGTAGTTATACTAATATCTAAGTCAGACCCCGATGCTTTCAGAAATAGCACGGTTTCAAACAACAGCACATGCACACACAGCCTAAAAGGCAAATTAAGCTTTTAATTTAAAAATGACCTCCAGTCACAATTACTATTGAACAAAATTGCACTTTTTTGGATATTTCATGAAAATTACCCTGCATGCAGATACATGCTATTGGATATGTTTAGATTTTTATAAAGCTAAATTTAGTACAATATTAAAAGCGTTTCACATTAATTTCCTACAGTAACAAGAGAGAAAAAAAACACCAACCTATTTATGGTGACCGTTGAATTTCTGTGCTTTCCGCATATATTCAAAGCTTGAATTTCTACCTGTAACATTTCTTTAGCTACTAGTCCAGCTGGCATGGACAGCAAATATAATACAAGAAGCTCCCATCAAGCTTGCACTTCACACATTGTGGCATGTACCCTTCTATCTTATGCAGACATTTTTTTTTCCTCCATCTGTCAAAATTCACATTAATTACACACAGATATGTGTGAAAGACTCCAGGGAAAAACAGATGCATACTCTGCCATCTGAAATAATTTCTCAGGGCTAGAGCAAACTAAATGTATATCAATTGCTCCATCCTGGAAGCGACACAATTTCTCTTAAAATGTGGAGCTTGTTTTTCTGTCTTACTCCTCTCAGGATCATTAAGTTACTCATTAAGATTTTCACCTTGACAATTATGTAAAATTAACCTTTGCTGGAGCTATTTAAATCTAGTATTTAGGATTAACTCTAGTTTCCACTTAAATTCTTGGTATCTTGCACAGGTATTCATATCCCTTAAACTTATTTTGTCCAAACACTTTGCAAAGACACTGGTTTAGGTTTTGACTTTGACTGGGCCATTCTGACATATGAATAAACTTTTATCAAAAAATATATTCAGCATTGTTTAGCAATAGTTTATCAAAACTATTGCTAAACATTTTATTTTCTTCCAGGATCACCCAATATTTATTCCATACTATCAACTGTCTGACCAGCTTCTCTCACTGAAGCATCCCCTCAGCACTATGCTACCACTACCAGGCTTCACCATGGGAAAGGTATTTTCATGCTGATGTGTTGTGTTATTTTTCCTCAACCCATGATATTTTGTATACAAAGCAGTTTTCTTTGTAGACCCTCCACGTTTTGTGACAAAATATAAACTGAATGGCTTTTTTATTCACACTTTTCCAAAAATCTCAGTCTTGTGGTTCCCTTGCCTGTCTTGTCAGTTTTGATGGCCATGTTTTGGTAAGTTACCAGTTGTCCTATGCTCTATTTTCAAATGCTCAATATCAATGATCAATATATGCATCTATAAAGTTAATCCAGAAAGTATTCACAGCACTTCCTTTTGGTCAAGTGTTGTTATCTTACAGACTTCTGACAAATCAGAATAAATTCATTTCCTTCCCTCACACCTTTACATATAACCTTGTGTTGGTCTATCACATAAAATGTCCATAAAACATAGTGATATCTGTGCTTGTAATGGGCCCAGTGTTAAAATTTAAATGAGAGCAAAGACTTTTCCAAGACACTAAATATCCAATATCTTTGTTCTCTTTGCTGCACATTTAATTTACATGTTTACAGAAAGGCTAGAAGTCAGCTCCCAAATGGCTAAATGTCATAATAATGAGAGAATCGGAAGCAGAATAGAAATCTGTTCAGGTATCACAGAACTCTGCCGGGCCATTATGCAGCAGGGGATGTGAGAGCCTTGGGTAAAAACTGGAGGCGGGGGAAGATTGAGCCTCCATTCTCTTGGGATTAACCTCCCACTGCCTGCTGTGATCACAGCAAAACGGTCCACTAAGACCACACCTCAGATGCCGCCGGCTCAAATCAACCCTGCAGTAGACTGGGAATCTCTAACTATGGCCCTGGTTGGTGGTAGAAAGACAAAAAGGACTTGGATTCATTAAGATCACTTAAAGAAGTAATTTAAATGTGACCAAAAGAAACGTATCAAAAAATATGTTTCACTGACGTATTTACAATACTCCATGACAATATAACCAAACAGATTTGACTTTTGCTATAAAGGAGATGCTAAAGAACAAAGGCATGGGGAAACCAGAGCCTCCAAGGATGAAAATCTACTTGATTACCTCTGTGTGAACTCTGCTGGGGATGAGAACGAGAGAGATGGCTAATCACTGCTCTCGTAGAGAAGATCTGCAAACTGATGACACTACGAAGGGTGAGGGTGAGTTAGTGAGAGGGAGGGAGAAGGAAGAGGCCCCTCTGTGAGTTTACAAGTTCATGCTTTATCCATGACCCACCACCAAACTATGTCATCTGTGCAGAAGTCCATTAATATGCCTATTGCTTTACCCTGTGTCTGCTTTAGCCATTGTATGCAGAGCAAACCATGTGCAACTTGATGATCAACTGTTCTCAGTGCTGAAACCAGAGCAAAGCAATGCATTGATCCCAAATCCCTGTTTAAGTAGCAAAAATACTTGAACTCATTTGGTAATTAACAGGTATCTGTGTTGTGATTAAGAGGCAGCCATGGCTTAACAACCATCGACTGCAGCTTAGAGTGAGGTGAAAGATCAATCTGCAAATACAGAAAAATGTGAGCTTTGAAGCAAAAGCTGAAGAAGTAAATTTGTCTGAGGAAGGATAATATAAGGAACAGTTTCTGTTTTTGTAGGATAACAGTCTGATCTCAGAAAGTTTAACAATAATTGAAAATTTAATTTATGCAAGTCATTCAATTCAAAAATTGAAACAGATTTTTTTCACATAGGCGCTCATGTATAAATTAAGCAAGAAAACTGGCCTATTCACTGATTCCTTTAAGTAGCGTATAATTTCTGTAAGTTTCTCTTTTATTGATCTTATGTAATTTTCAAATCTTCTAAGGAACTTCATTTACATTTAAATAATTTAAAATAACAGAAAAAAACACTTTTATGTATATTACTCAGTGTATAGTAACTAAAATAAATTTGTTAATTCGTTAATTAATTGAGATACCGCTACATTACAGTAACTTTAAATTAAAGTCAACTAAATAAACCAACGAGACATGGTTGACAAAATGTGTTGATTTAGAAGCAGGAGACAAATGAGAGTGAAACAAAAATGGATGTTCACAGAGGAAGTTTACTACTGTTAACACTGTTAGGGTCAGAAGATGAGGTTAAACGTGGTAAAGGGGGGGTCAGAGGTCAGCCTGATAGCAGTAATTGAATCCAGAGAAGAGAGTAAAGTACTATAGAGATGAGACGTCGAATCCAGGGAGGCTGTGGCACTCACCTAGAGG